CTTCTGGAGGGAGCTCGTCCCAAGATAGACCGAGAATCCACAGCTTCTGCACCAAAAACTTTGCGAAGAAAGTTATGGGAGAGAGGAAACCACACGGGTCATAGATCCTGGCGAGTTCGCTTAGAATGGTGCGTTTACTGCATACACGAGTCTGTGGCTTGACTTCGAATGTGAAATTATCCAAGCCAGGCTCCCACCTTAGACCTAAGATTTTAAGAGTATCCGATGATTCTTTGTCTAAAGATACAGAATCTGTTAGACAGTGTTCTGGAGGAAGGTCAGCGAGCAAACTGGGTTCATTACTGGCCCACTTTCTTAGCTCCATATGACCACGTTTGAGGAGCTCTGTCACTTCTAACTTGGTTTGGATAGCCTGATCAAGACTAGAACAGCTGGTAGCGACGTCATCTATATACACATCAGTCCGTAAAACAGCTTGACCGAGTGGGAGGTCATTGCCTTCATCATCAGCCAGTTGCCTGATAGTGCGACAAGCTTGATAAGGAGATGACGAAACACCATACGTGACGGTGTTCAATCTATATTCTGAAATTGGCTCAGAGGGATGGTATCTCCAAAAGATTCTTTGAAAGTCACGATGGTCTTCACGTATGAGTATTTGACGATACATCTTGCACACATCGGCTGTAAATACGACACGGTGAACGCGAAATTTAAGAAGAATTTCCAAAATGTTAGCTTGTAACTTTGGACCAACTAATAACGTGTCATTCAACGATTGTTTTGTGATGGCGTCACGACTTGACGCATCAAAAACGACGCGAAGCTTTGTAGTACTGCTGTCAGGTCGCAGAACACAAAAATGAGGAATGTAATACTTTCCTTTTTGTATATCTCTTGTGGACACATAAGTCATGTGACCACATTGAAGATATTCAGCCATAAAATTCGAATATTGTTCCTTTAGAACTGGATCTAAGGAAAGCTTACGTTCTAACGAATAGAAACGCCTAAGAGCTAGATCTCGCGAACCTGGGAAAGACGGTTCTTTGTCCTCACAAAAGGGCAAAACGACACTATACCGTCCCGTTGCATCACGAGTAGTTGTTTTACGGTAAATTTGTTCACAACGTTCATCTGCCGCGCTCAACCTTTTGACACACGGAAGATTATCTAGTTCCCAGAACTTCTTGACTTCCTGAAACAGCTGATCATCTGTGACGAATAACGAAGTGGTTTTGTATCTGTCTTTACTATCTTCAGCACTTCCTATAAGAAGCCAACCAAACACAGAAAAGGCCGAAGGTTGGTTCGATTCCCCGGTGACACTTCCGGGAAGAATGAGAGATGGAAAGATTTGAGCTCCTAAAAGGATATCTACCGGACCCGGTTTGTCACAGTCTGGATCAGCAAGGTTAAGACCACGAATGTGAAGCCAAGATGATTTATCGAGTCTTACGCTAGGCATATTTCCGCAAATGTTAGGTATAGTCAGCGCTTCTATATTGAAAGCCACTTGACCATTTAACCCTATTTGAAGTTGAACAGCTCCAGAGATGGAAGCTGACGATTGACCTACACCCCTAACCTGGCGTGTAGTCACACGTTTGTCAAGTCCAAGTCGCTCTACTGCACGCTCTGAAATGAAATGGGCTTGACTACCAGTATCGATTATGCAGCGAAATGGCTGGTAGGAACCCGACGAATCACGAATATATATAACGGCAGTAGATAGAAGAACAACCGATGAATCGCCTACACTTCTCAATACACGAGTAGTTTCACTCACAGAGGGTTTATGTTCAGAAGAATCCACATCACTCTCCTGGTGAAGAAGAGTATGATGCTTTTGATGACATTTCTGGCATCTGAAAATGGATTTACAATCGCGCACGACATGTGAAGGCCGCAAACAAATGAAACACCAGCGATTGTTTTTCGCAAAATCGCGTCTTTCCTGAATAGATTTACCAGAAAATATCTTGCAATGTGAAATCGAATGAGTTTCTGAACACGCAGGGCACTTAGAGGCCACTCCAGGGACAGTAGTCGAAGAAACAGACGATTTACTGACTTCTATCCGGTTTGTTGTCTTCTCTGAATTGGATAATAATGAAGAAGTAATTTTCTTGTTATTATGATTAGACTTGACAGAATTTTTAATAGATCCACTAGAACTACTAGTAGACGGTTGATCACGATTAGTCGAGAAATGGGTGTCCCGGACGAGTGCGTCACATTGACTTTCTAAAAATCCTTTTAGCACAGAATAAACGGGTAACTCTGACGTCGGATGAGCTTTTTCAAAGGCGCAGCGAGTTTTCGAATCTAATTTCGAAAGCAAGTGATAACATAGGATAAAGTCCCAATGTTCCGTTGGTAGCTTAAGACTTTTTAGAATTACTAAGTTTTCGTTAAAAAGGTCCAAAATGCGTCTAAATTCAGTTGGTGAGTTAACTTTTAAATTTATGTTTTGTATTTCTCGCCAGCACGTAAAGGCGAGTTCACGATTATCACGATAACGAGTTACTAAAGTATTATACGCTTCCTGATAGTATTGACCTTGACTCGGAAAAGTTCGAATAAGCATCACCAAATAAACTTGCTCTAAGGTATTGCATTTTATCTGAGTCCGAAAGTAATTGATTAAAATGAATGAGAGAATTAAAAGCATCAAAGAACATATTGAAATCCTTAATACATCCTGAAAAACGCGGCAAATCAATTTTCGGCAGTCTTATCGCTGAAGCAGGTGGAGCACTCGGTACAGAGGGCGCTATAGTAGAGGGCGCAAGCTTCCGATGCAAAACAAGTATTTTAAAATTAATGTCGTCAAAATCAGAACGAATTTCATCCTCGGCCTCCATATCACAATCTTCCACGATGCTTAAAATATCTAAATGTGCTTCTTCAAAATTATTCGCTAACTTTTGCATTGAAGAATAATGTACGATAAATTCGTCTAAACGAGAAGCATCTAACTCCGCTGCTAAAGCAATTTCCAAAATTTTGCGCAATCGATTTAATGCTAATGTTCTTTTACGACGCAAAACAGGCAAGTCCGCGTACGTAAAACCAACAGGTTCAACTGATTTAGATTTGCTCAATCTTTTACCACGTTTGACATTAAATGCCATGTTTGTATCAATATACGAATGAAAATTAATCGAATAGAAAAATAATCGGAATGAAAATAATCGGTTTGAAAAAATCGATTTCTATCTCGAAATGTTATGTCCCCACACTATTCGGACGGACCAGATTTTTATTACAAGTCTACCCTCGAATTGAATGATAAAAATTGCACTGAGCTAAAAATAGATTTAAGGAATTTGTTATTACGTAATGTTTACAATTTACAGTTTGAAACTTTTACAAATAAATTTATTTTTATTTGTTACGTATGGATACAAATTGATATGTGAATATGAATGTGATTAGAATTTCCGTTATGATAGATTTGTATTTACGAATACGAATGGATTTAACAAAGTATTTACGTGAAATAAGTAAATAAAAATGTTCGAGAACTTAATTGTTGAGACGATAACTATACACATTAGCACACGTACTGAATATGTACGAATAATTTACGTGAACTAAAGGCGTACGGAGCAACAAATGTTCAGAATGAATTTTAATACAAATCATCGAATTGTTAAGTTTATGAAAACTATGGCTATGAATTGGCAAGATGAAGTAATAAGCAAACAAAAAAAAAAATATTTTCTTACGAATATGGCTGATACGTAAATGTACGTTCACGGATGAGAATGGAATGTTTGTTACTTTCTTCACCAAAATGCGATCTCGAGCATAAATAAGGATAAAGTAACAAGCAGAATATTGTTTTCTAACGTGTTGTTCATATATTTCGGAGAAATATTCATTATCTAACGTGATTTGAAGCGATAAATAACGGTCTCGATACACGGTCGGCCATTGAACAAAAGACGAAAGACAAATGTATATTTTTTACGATTAACTACTTATGAGAGTACTCCCGGGTTTCGGCACCAGAACAATGTAGCGAGACCGGCTATATCCGCAACATTAGGGGTTGGAAATTTAAATGAAAAATGAATTCCCAAGACGTATAAAAGAGCAATCACACAGACAGAAAATAAGGAATATATTAGCCGCCTTACCTTATTCCCTCGAACGAATGTCCCTCAGTTCCAAGATACACTAGAAAACACTGCACAGTATTTTTGTGGTATTTCACAGGAGATCGCACACGTAATAATTCACAAAATTATAGCTTTTCTAATCACATATCTAATATACGAAAATTCGTAAGACACCAACCACCGCATTCAACAATTGCAGTGCAGATACGAGCGCATCGCTAGTGCGGTGCGCACACGCAGATCACATACGATGGGCGATATCGATTTTATTCGAATGAGTCCCTAATATACCCACCCAAGTAGACGGCTTGTATGTTTGTGTACATACTTAACCATTATTTTCTTCCATGAATAATTGCAAAATTAAACGTCTTGGGAATGAAAATGTCGAGATGCTCGGTGCAAAGTAAAAAGGGATACGATCACGATACAATATGGTTTCATAGTACTCACTAATACTTCTCGATTATTCATATTTTGTCCATCAGAGAATAAGTAAGGTCTGGCGGCCATGGGATTTTAGACAATTATGCGCGTACATTAATTATTGCAATTCATTTTCATACATATATTGATGAGGGCACACAAACATTATAAAGACGTTCAAACTAAAAAATGTGACACATGTTAGATACCCATATATCATGAGACAAATTTCGATTGTAATTTAATAGGTAATTCAATACACATAATATTATCTATGTTAGAAAAATTGTATTAAACAGAATTATTAGTATTAATTTGTGTAATCGGTTCCTTATTGTGGTTTAGTTTTTTATTTCTTTCTGCCCACCCTATCGGAAATATAGCGTGAAAAAAGATAGATCCAAACATGTTCTCCAATGAAAGCGCTCTATTCATTACCTTATCCATCTCTCAATATTAAAGGTTCGTTTTCTTGTTCCACAGTTGCGTGGTAGACAAGATGTGAAGCATCAAGGTCATGGAGGAAGCGGAGTGCAGCAACTGCAGCGTCTACGCTGACCTCAACGACACTCTCGGCCACGGCAATGCCTCTCACATCAACAAATTCTATTTCTATCAGGTAAGTGTAAACATAATCTTTCTTGCATAAACTGTTATAGATTTTGCATCGTTCGCTTATCTTCTTCAACTTTTATCTACCCACTGCTGGGCATAGGTCTATATATATATATATATATATATAGGTTATCATTTGCTTAGGCTGTTTCCAAATTCATTTAAAGACATCAAAATTTATATTTTATATCCCGTAATGCTTAACCACCTTGCATTTGGTTTATACCAATCATAAATAAATTCCTATCTCTTCTTTGGTATTTGTCTCCCTCTATACTCACTTCAATGCTAATTTCACCTCCCTAAAAACTATATAGACTGTCTTATTTAATTTAACTCTCCATGAAAGCTTAACAGATTATTACACCCAAAAGCTATTAAAAATAAATGGAAACTAATGTCAAAGATAGCTGCTGCGGTAGAGAAGATTGCTATAACACCACACCCGGGGACATTTCAAATGGCAAGCTTATAGTCAAGCTAAAAACTATGCAAGTCACGTACCTAGCCGCGTGGCTTACGGTGTGGCCATCTGCGATAATCTGTGGATATAATATGAATTATCTCGTCAACAGTAGATTGAATCTTAGGATCAACAGCTTTCCTAACGAAAAATTAGCTGTGCGTAGAAAAAAACAACTAAATCTACGTATCAGACTGGATTAGAACTACCGACGATATCACGGCAAGTGTTTTCAGGAGTTATTTTACCCTATCCCAGCTTCACCTTTCCTTCAGAGGACCTGGCGTGCTTGCCTACGTTGTCACCAGAGAACTTTGAGTCTGGACTTTACCACCACAAACCTTAGGTGAGATAGAGGCCTTTGCCTACCTAAATATATAAAAAAGTGTCCTTTACATCCAGGCGAATGAACGTAAACAAGATATATGCTAATTTTTGAAAAATACCAATTGATGACAGACACCTTTTTGAAAATATTTATAAACCAAACTACTAACAGCATAAGCTAGCTTGCTGCTAGTTGAGTCAGCGTTTTAATTTATAAATGCAACCCGGTATCTGCCAATAAAGTGTCATAAGTCAATGTCCTGTCCCGTCGGCGTACTGTATCCTTTAAACTGTGTGATTATACTGCGGCTGCGACCGTGGGGCCAAGTTAATTGTGTGAGAGGATCACCCTGAACTATGGGTCTAGACGTGGCGTATTCTAATCTCGACCTTCTAACGGTGCAAGTTACAGGAGTATTCCAAACGAAGTATACAGAGAGTGGAAAAGATCAAATAAGAGTTCTTGTAAATATACACTTTGTAAAAGCGAAGTTTTTGGCATTCGATCTGTAGTTTTTATTATCTTTAATAATTTTACTCCGTCTTTTACCGTTGTCCGTCTGGTCCAGTCGTGTTAGTGAGGTCCAATAGGGGTGATGACGGGGGGAATTTTCACTTAAAAGTGTACCAAAACGTGACGTCATGCGACTTTTCAAATCAATATATAATATGTATATCTCTGCAATGTTTATATTATGTAAAAAAAGAAAAAAAACGTGTCCAGTACTTTTTGATAACCTGATAAACGAAGAAAAAAAAATAGTCATCATCCCTATTATGAAGATCCATTGGGTACCAAGGAGGTGGTCGAATAACTCTTATCGTGTAGGTAAGGTCTTATCATGAAGGTCCAGTAGTGCAAGACCGTTTTATTTAGCACTGAGAATAAAAAAAATCGAACAATACAATAATCAACTAAAAATACTTCTAATTAAAAATTAGAAAAATTGTTATACGGACACTGACCTTTTTTATAAATAAAACCTTCATTAGTACTCAATTTATATTCAAATTGGTCACACAGAACCTTAAAATGTTATGGTAATCGGATACCAAAGTAACCAGACGAAAACAAAAGTCCCTTTACCCTCTCCATTTCTGTGGTAGAAACCATCCATTAGGACGCAGCATTATTTAAATTCCTCGGACTCGTCTGGAATAACATTTATGGGCGTCATCCAAAAGGATTCAGTGTCATATTATGAGCATTAAGATTTTGGCTAATGGACACTTTCTATATTCGTGAGACGAATATAATATCAGTATAATTTTAAAGTATTAGACAAGACCTTTTCTATTTTCTTTGCCGTTTCTTTACGAATAAGAAATAGTTTATTATAATTTACTCACAAATCTGTTATGTTAATGTTCTTTTTTATACGAGGCTCGACATAATACCCCACTCCACCTGATATTAAGTGTAAGTGGAGTCCAGTCGCGAAGATAGTTGATGCGGCAGAAAGTGTGCCGCACCAGCCAATCTCACCTTGCCGGCCTAAACCTAATCCCCTACCCCGTGGAGCCCTGGAACCACAACTACCAGCAGCAACAAAACAACTTATAAAAAAAAAGTTATCTATCTAAGTTAGATAGCTTCTTGCCAAATCTCGGGAGCGGTAGGAAGAGAGTATATAGAGACATACGACATAACATATTGCACGGTCCGTAAACTTATATTAAAACAAAAAGGGTAGATACGGTACGCTCATACTTGCATCAAAGAAAAACTGATCCCACGGCAGCGCGAACGAGACGGCGAGATCCGCGTCACTGACTACACTACACTACCGACCAATCACGCGACCAGTACTTGACGTCACTACCGAATAAGATTCAAAACAAACAGCAATTTTTATGAAAAAATATATTTTATAGTACTTACAAATGAAAAGTGATGCCGTGGGTTTTATTTTTAGTTCTTGAGCAATTTGAGCACTTTTAAAAAACACACTTAGGCATTGTTTTATCATATAAACACAAAATATTAGCAATATTTCTTTTTGGCAATCACATGTACGTCGTTTGCATGTCAAATTGTGACTAAAGCGATTAGGGTCGTGGACCACAATTCATGCGGATCACTTTAGTGAGGCTATTGCCGTATCTACCCTTTTTGTTTTAATCTAAGTCCGTAAACACATCTTTATATCTCACATCACGTATCAACATTTTTGTAATAATCATTATATCTAATCAATTAATTACTTATTCTGTCTTCGACAACATACATCCGTCTATATATAACTTCAAGCTTAAGTTAAAAGGCTACAATGCGTTTAACTCTCAATTTAAATTCCTGGAGAAAAATCTAGCAGCCTAGCAGAAAACCTCCGCTGAATTACATTTTAACAACGAATATTGTAAAAATCAAAATTAAGCATGTTAAAAGGGCATACACGAATATTACTCGATGTCACGAATTATTTCGGATTGAGATAATTCTCTATCACGAGCTCATTAATGTCCTTACTGCTGGAGACTGGTATTAATTTAATTTATGTTAAAAGGTTGGCAAACAAGCGTATGAGCCGCCAGACCGTAAGCCACCATAGATTATAGATGCTAACGGTAGATGTTAACGGTTAATATCCCCACTGCCGGGGCACAGGCTTTCCTATGGATGGAATAGGGAGATTGGGCCAGGACCCACCACGCTGGCCCAGTGCGGATTGGTGGTTGCTAACGGTTGCAGATGCAGCCGGGACCAACGGCTTAACGTGCGTACCGAAGCACGGAGGAGTTCGAGATAGTAAATTTTTGGTCACCCATCCAATGACAGACCACTGCGACAGTTGCTTAACTTCAATGATCGCAGCCGAATGCGCTAACCACCTGCGCCATCGAGCTCCTCTCCTACAGATGCTTGCGGTACTGAAAAAATAACACTCGTATCGGTGCCTACCCTGACGAAATCCCTACCCCGTGGAGGTGAAACGCATCACCATCAAAAGATAGTGATATTTTACTGTGATCTTTTGTAAGGTGGAGGTTATTTCCCCAGACGGGCGCTTCAATTCGAGCGGAAGATTTTCTATGCTTCTATTCTATCTTCAAAAAACCCTCTCTACACGAGAGAGGGCCCTGTCTTAAATAATTTAGTATTAAAAAAAAATGGGTGCGTGTACTTATGTAGGCGCGTGAGAAGTTATCCGTATAAGTTCTTTGGCATCCTTTAAAATTAGTTTTTAATTGCATGCAAATAATTAATTACAATAAATTAATAAAAAGTCTGGAAAAGGACACAGTCAATAAAGTTCAGTTTTAATTTGAAAAAATAAATAAATAATCAAAATATTCAATTAAAATCGCTACTGAATATAATTTATTAGAACATATGTGATTTGCACTTGTATGAAACTCAAACACGTATTCCGAATATACAAACTAGAAACATGTGGATAAATATTATAAATATGAACACCTATAACTGTTACTTTATTACAAAAAATAAAGATGTGGTTTTTAGTTCTACTACACCAATGGTCAAGAGATGGCGCTGTAGTCTCCTGAATCGCGCTTTGGTTCCTTTGTTCCAGATTAATAAATACTTTTGATATTATAAATATGAATACCTATAACTGTTACTTTATTACAAAAAATAAAGATGTGGTTTTTGGTTCTACTACACCAATGGTCAAGAGATGGCGCTGTAGTCTCCTGAATCGCGCTTTGGTTCCGTTGTTCCAGATTAATAAATACTTTTGATAGGCCTTCACAATGCAGTCGTTAGCAGCGATCAACTTCATGCTGTTAATTTTTTGTGTTACAGTGATGCGCGCGCATCTTAAAATTTCACTCTCATCAGTTTTTCATAACGCGCCTAAAGAAGTATAACTTCAAAAACATTGTATCGGCGTTATGCGTTCTCTTTAATAAAGCTCAGTTGTTTCTTGAATAATGCGTATATTGCGAATATAATTACAAAATAAAATAAATAAAATGAAAATTGCGAAAGAAAGTTGAGCGTACAAAATTTCAATTGCGTAGAGAGTGCAGTGTAGAGGGGTTTTTGATCAGGTGGGTCAAAGTTGCTTCTACTGGTAGAAATGGAGCGACGTTCCGGTGTAGGCAGAACTTCTTAATCATGCGTTAACAAACATCTACCATCTATTATAACGCTAAAGGGAACTGATTATTTTGTAAACAAATAAATGTAATGTATTCACGGCATACTTATTCCAAAAGGGTTATGGTGGTTTTAGCATAATTTGATTTTAATGATATATGTAACATACAAGAACTGTATTTTCTGACAGAAAATCTATGTATATCAAATGCCTATTTAATGTGTTGTCGTTGATAACGTGTTAAGAACGACAATGTTTTGATTATACACAAGGGAACATGGATAAATTATTCAGATAATTACAAATGTATGCATAATGATGATTATTATACTAAATCTTATTCAGGGGCGTATTGTCCCTAGCTCGGAGGGGCGGCAAAAGCTATATAAAGGCATTCGTTACTTAAATTACCTATATTTTCATGAGATTTACTAATTCAGAGGGGGGTCGTATATCGTAAATAGCCAGGGGTGCCAGATTTCAAAATACGCTCTTGATCGTACTCCCGCCAAAATGTCCTTTGCAAAGTTATGCGTTGAGTTGAGAGAACGAGTGCTGAGGCGGAGATGAGTCTGCCCTAACTTCCTTAATATTGAAGTTAATGTTTAGTCACACTGAATATAAATAACACTATTTGTATCTATACTGTATGACACAACAATCAAAATGCAGGTAAACAATTAATGTATATTTAATAATTATGTAATGAAAAGTGACTTCATGAATCACCTCTGAAGTCATTTTTCAATTTGACGACTCTGTAAATAATAAAACAGGGAGAAAAAAACAGCCCTTGCTGAGTTTCTTGCCGGTTCTTCTCAGTACAAGGTCTCCCGCCGTAGATTAACGAACCGATGGCGTAGCTTCTAGACATTCATGAGTGCTTGTAACAGCCTAAACTGAATAAATGATTTTGATTATGATTATAGTAGAAATTATCCTTTTCATCACCAAAAGGAACTTACCTGAACTACAGTTACCAAAACTGTTAAACACCAAACTATCAACGCAAGGCCATTACTACTGAGGAACTCGATAGCGCAGGTGGTTAAGGCATTCGGCCTGCGATCGTGAAAGATAAGCACCTTTCGCAAAGGTCGGTCTTTGGATGGGTGACCAAAAAGTTACGATCTCGAGCTCCTCAGTGTTCGGAAGGTTCGTAAACACGGTGGTCTCAGCGCTGTCTTCCTATTCCATTCATAGAGAAGACCTGTGCCCCAGCAATGGGGACATTAAAAGGCTGATGATGATGATACATCTACCACTATTACTTCATACGGCTAAACCAATGCTAGCGAAAATTAGCTTTATGTTTCAGAAACGGCACTGCATTGGTATTATTCAACAGACGAAAAAAGACAGAGGATCAAGTCGCCGCGTATTCTTTTTTAAACTCGTACATGATCACGCAAAACTTTTTGCAGAGATGTCTGATTTTGATAATTCTTTTGGCGTTCTATACCTTCTGCCTACCCCACCCGGAATATGGCGTGAACTCGGAACATGGATATTATTCATAGTTTGCCATAACACATTATTTTGTTTTGCAATCATTCAAGCAAATTATGCACTTTATAATGTCGGCTACTTTATACAAAAACATATACAGCTGAGATGAGATCAATTAAGTTTTATTAAAAAATAATAAGTATAAAATGTGAAATAAAACTGTGTCATGCAAGTTAATAGAGAAAAATACATATAAATAGAATGCCTGTTTCCTTTTAAAAAAAAACCTTTTGTTTCAGACAGCCCAGGTAGCGGTCCTATGGATGCTACTGGTGGCCATCGTGGCTGGCAATGCCACGGTCATACTGGCACTGCTACTCACCAAAACAAGAAAAAGCAGGATGAATTTCTTCATCATGCAGTTGGCCATATCTGGTGAGCTACCGTAAATATCGTAATTTTTAATTTAAGGATAGAGGATGATATAAGATTATGAAATTCAGTCTTTAAGGCGCAACGCACACTGAGAGAGGCGCGGTGACTCCGAGCGCGTCTTAGAGCCACGGAGCGGAGCTATCGCGCGCAGACTCCCGTGAGCGCTTCGCAGCGCTGTGAGCCGCTTGGGTACGGTTTATGTTTGCCATGAAATATTTTAAAATAATAATATCAATTTAAATTATAATATCTTCTAAGTCGCTATCTTCATTGCTGAAAGTCGTGTCAGGCTTGTAATGTTGACCACCTGATGCACTATGCTTCTCTACGTATACCTGTCCTCTGCAGTCCTTATAGCCTTGGTTATTGATAGGCCAGTGAGCGACTTTACTAGGTCTGACCAGCGGGTAGGTGACCGACAGCCCGATCCAATCACCATCTGCTTCTCTAGGCTGACAGAGTTTCTGCGAGCGATGTGTCCGAAATACTTTAGTATACGCTGGTAGCAGATAGTGGAAAATCTTGTAGTGATGCCGAGTTCCTCAAGTATGGACACATTGGTCCGGCATGCAGTCCATGGAATTCTTAGCATCCGCCTCCAACACCACATCTTAAAAGCGTCGATCCTTGCCCTTTCACTCTGTCTTGTGATGAGCTTCAGATTTTCGGCAATTATATAGTCACTTCCGGCCGATTTATTATTTTTGAGCTTCTTCAGCGCAAATTGGATTTCGGATCTCAATATATCGGGTTCCTTAGGAACATCAGTCAGGCTGTGTCGTAGGTTTATTGGTTTCGCTGTCTTGTCTGCGTACAATTCTTTGCAATAACCTCTCCACCTATGTACTACCTTATTAATCTCTGTAAGCAACCCTCCGTTTTTGTCTTCTACAGCCAACGTTTTTGCATTGAAGTCCCGCGTTATGGACTTTATTTTCATAAAAAGATCGCGAGTGTGCATCTTCTGGGCGTGATCCTCAATTTAAGAGCAGAGGTTATTAAAATACTAATGTTTATCTTGCCTAGATTGCTGCTGTTTTTTTTTCAAGAGAGCCCTATATTTTTCACGGTTATCGCCTTTTCAGAGATTTTTCAGTATATCTTTCTTCCGGTTAATAAAGTCCCATGTCTCATCTGATAACAATGAGCTGCGGGGTGAGTCAAGACTTTGAACTTGGCATTCTTTGTAAGTTGTGAGCAAGTTCTTTGAACTTTCCCCAACCCTCGTTCACATCAGAGCTGTCATCCATTTGTACTCAAATTGTCAGTTTTTGCTAGATTCTGACTTTGAAATTCGTTTGTTCTCCAGGTGTGAGTCTGCGATTCTGTTTATCGACAAGACGATAACACCTTTTCAGTTTTATGATTATTTTTGCAACCAGCAACGAATGATCAGTGCCACAGTCAGCACCTGGGTAAGTCTTTGTATATAATACGCATGACATCCATCTTTTCGGGACCGCAATGTAGTCAATTTGGTTTCTGTTACGATCTCCTGGCGATTTTCATGTATACAGTCGTCGTGGATGGTGTTGGAACCAGGTGTTCATTATGGACAAGGAGTTAGCTACACAAAATTGTAGCCATCGGTCTCCTCTCTCATTCCGTTAACCTAGCCCAAAACGTCCCACAACATCCCTCAGATGGTTATCGTGTTCCGTACATCCAACTTTAGCATTAAGATCTCCAATCAAGATATTCACTTCTCTCTTGGGTAGCGAGTTATATGTATGAGCTGGTTGTAAAATGCTACGAGTTCCTCTTCAGTAGAACCACTGTTCGTAGGCGTGTATACCTGTATAATGTTTATACGAAATGGCCTAGTGTTGAGTTTTAGGGTAATTATACGGTCGCTAACAGGATTATATCCCAAAACACATTTATCGATCTGGGGTGTAACAGATATAGCCACGCCTTTGCTACTCTCATTATCAGGACCAGAAAAGTATACGGTATGCCCTCGACTCGTTTTATATAACCCTGTACCTCTCATGTGAGTTTCACTGTGGCCTAGAACATCTAGTTTATAGGCCAGCTGTTCCTTGTCAATACTGAATGTATTTCTTGACAACAGTAATCATGCCACGGACATTCCACGTAGCAAGTGCAATCATCTTCCTCAGTGATCGCTGGATCGTTAATGGCAATGTGCCGTCACCAGTAGCATTTTGTCCACTCTGAGCCTGGCGAGCCACCACAGCGTGGCCAGTAGCATACTTCACACCACGAGACCGGAATCATTTCTCTGTGCGTTAATTTCATGCTAGATTTCTTGGGAAAATAGTGCAGTGGTTTCCCGTTGCCTTCTGCGCCAGACCTTTCGGGGAGTATTTGGTTCCTTAGGCTGCTGAACCAGATCGTTGTTCTACTGGGTGTAAGGGTATAACGCCTTTGCTCGGTCGCCATTGCCTCGTCTCTTGTCTAGCAGGGAACATCACGACGACCCCTAGGTCGCCGCCACTAGCTATTCTAATAAGAACCACTGGCGCGGGCAGGTGAGGATGACTATTGGGTCGGAAAAGATGTTAAACTCCGTTCTCCCCTTACACCCCATATAAATTATAATATAGGAGTCAGGATTTAACTCAGTATTTTAACTTAAATTCTGAAATATCAGCATCATCGGCATGCCTGTCCCGGTGTGCGCTGTGCCTTAGCCCTCCTCTTGATGCTAATGACACTGATAAAGACTTATTATGGCGTTGCATTTTTGATACTCGGCAAAGCCCCGAAAGACAATCTATGTATAACGTAATCCTAAAATCGATAGTCATCACACAAAGAAAAAGTTCGAAAAAAAAACCAGCCTGAAACTCATGAATAATACGAGTCTGTGCCGTATGATTGATGAAGTTAACGATTTTGATAAAATATGTTTTAACATCTGTCGTTTTCTAAAAATTAAAATTGAATGACAGTTTTATTACAGCTCACGCCAATCACACTAATCTCTCTTTTTATAATAACATATTTGAGAAGATATTTGAAAACATATCAATTACAGATGACGCGTCTACCGAATTAGATGTGGCTTTATGAAGCACTAATAATTTCTAGTAAAAAAATAACAGTTTGTTTTTCTTTCAGATTTATTAGTTGGATTAATTAGTGTACTACCAGATTTAATTCATAGAATAACTATAACATGGCTTGCGGGCTCTATAGGGTGCAAGCTAATGAAATATTTACAGGTAAGTTGCTTTAAATTTGTTTAAGATAAGGAAATAGGACTACAGAATTACCTTCTTTGGCGACAACCTTTAACAGAGGTAGGGCACAGCAGATTCTCCGCTCGAATTGAAGCGCCCGGCGCCCATCTGGAGAAGCTTTCTTCATCTTACAACAGACCACAGTAAAATAAAGGTACCTTTTGGTGGTGTTGTGTTTCTGCTGATTAATAGGATTCCAGGGCTCCGTGAGGTAAAGAATTGGGTTCAAGCCGGCTAGATGAGAATGACTATGGAAGAATGGCACACTATCTGCCGCATAATCTATCTTCGCGACGGGACTCCACTAATTACCTATTACTGTCTCTCGTTAAGAGTAACAAGGTAATATATATATATATATATATATATATTTAAAACGTCATTAGAAGACCATGTTTAACTTTTGAAAATAAATAACGTCTTATAATTATAAAAAAAAAAATTTAAAACCCAACTGCAATGACATATACTGGATAAATCTATTCTATGTGTTCTAAGATTCAAAGCTGTAGGATTTCAGAGATATAGGTAAGCACAGAATCCAACACAATAATTATTTATACTAGTTATTTGTCGTAGGAGAAAATTCTGTGCCGAAAACGTGGATGATTAGACACTGCCTTGATGAGCACTGGCATGAGCTTGCTCAGTCTTTTCTGGCGTTTCACCGGGAAATACCGTGGCACGCTCGCTATGCTCGCTCGCCTCGCACGCCACAGTCACAACACTAACGTAACCTAGTGTGAACCCAAGAACACAAAAATATTTATAATAAGCCTAAGATTCTATTCTCAATTTTACTGGGGCGACTCGCGTTTTCGCCAAAGTCCTATCTTTTTCAATAAGATTCATAAATGTCATTGAAATTGTCTAACTAGCCGCATTTTTGCAAAATGCCTAGGGTTTTCGCGAAAGTTTGAACGAATATATAAGATAATTATATAATTCAACGCATTTTCGTCCTTCACGCTTTGCTGATTCTATTTAGGATATTGCGTGATGCTTTAGCATTTTAACTTAATTAATTACAATCCAATAATTGTTTCAGGGTGTAGTTACTTATTCGTCTACTTATGTATTGGTCGCACTTAGTGTGGACAGGTGTGACGCCATCACGCATCCAATGAACTTCACTGGTAGTTGTGAGTATTGATTTGTTTATATTTATTACCAGCGCTTTATTTAAATAAAGTTAAACAGTTATAACAATGTCTGGTAAGGTTGGGAGATGACTGAATACAAAATTCATAATATACATCTCATTCTTCTCATAAATGTCCAAACTTTGGCGATGATAAGAGTTATTAGTCCTACTATCGTACTAATATTTATAATAGGGGTGATGACGGGGTACAGTAAACGAAATTCTATTTAGTCCGTCGCGTCAGTTAGATGATCAAAAAATAATGGACACGTATTTATTCTTTGGGCAATCAACCAAAAAATTACAAAGTTATAGCGCGTCAAAGTTTGGGAGTAGGGGATCGTGACGTCACTTTTGAGTGAAAATTGTACTTGTTTAATTGTAAAACGTGATGTCAATTTTCAAATCCATATATCTCTGCAATGTTTATAATATGTGAAAAAAGAAAAAATATGTGTCCAATTCTTTTTGATAATCTACCTGATAAACGAAGAAAAAAAATAGTCATCATCCCTATTATGAAAGTTTGTACGTTGTTTTTTAGGAGTCTCCAATATAAGATATACTCTATCATAGAGAAGGGCATAGTGGTAGGGATATCGAGCGCGATAAAAAATGACGTCAGAGGGTAGACCGATTAGTCTGTTACTTAATGATCATGGCGCTTGCAACCATGCCGAAATATCGAAGACTAATCGATCGAATCGAAAATAAAAAACAAGGCACTTGGTAACAATCCCGTTAAAGTAATATAAGTTATTTACGGGATTGTTACCATGTACCTTGTTTTTAGCGAGTTTCCGATATTTCGGCACTGTTGCAAGCGCCATGATCACGGAGTAACTGAGTGATCATGGCGATAACCGTGATCATGGCGCTTGCAACAGTGCCGAAATATCAGAAACTCGCTAAAAACAAGGTACATGGTAACAATCCCGTAAATAACTTATATTACTATAATGTTAGTGACCATGAAAGTTTAAAACAATAAATCCCGTTAAAAGCCATAATGTTAGTGACCATGAAAGTTTTAAACAATATATTTGTATGTTTGTTACCCCAATCACGCAAAAGCGGCAGAACGGATTTAAATGAAATTTGGCACACATATAGTTTATAACCTGGATTGTGGCAGGGTTCTTCGTATCCCTATTGTCTAGTTTTTACGGTCGCCCTTGCGGCGGTCGCCTTCTTGGCGAGGTAGGGCCCCGCTTGCTTCTCGGAGCACTTGTGTTCCCTGAAGCGGCGGAGAGGAGTCCCCGATAGCTTCGTCCGCAACCCTCGGTTGGCGAAGTATGCGTAATGCATTTTCTAGACATTAAAGGGTTCTTCGTATCCCGAAAAAATGTTAGGTTCCTGAGTGATACTCAAAAAATTAAAGTAAACTTGGACGAAGTCGCAGGCGGCTGTTAGTTATAAATGAACATGATGGACATAATTAACCATGAATAGACGCAGGGTATAAGAGGGTAGAGCATAGCGGATTTCCCGCTCAAATTGAAGCACCCGTCTGGGAAAATAACCACCACCTTCAGACCCGTCTTTCCCAGTGGGCACTTTGGGCAAGTGCCTAGGGCCCCGCGATCACTAGGGGCCCACCCCAGATCAAATACAAAGTCTTGAGTTCATAGGGCCCCATTATCCTAATATGCCCAGGGCCTCCAATAGGTCAAAGACGGCACTGACCACCTTACAAAGACCACAGTAAAATAACTACAATTATTTGCAGTATCTTGTTTCAGTCGGTGAGTAAGGTTACAACGGTGTGAGTGATATTTTTGGTCCTCATTATCCTCATCAGCCTTTTAATGTCCCCACTGCCGGTGCACAGGCCGTCCCTATGGATGGAATAGGGAGATTGGAAACAGACTGACTGCGAAGTGCTAACGATTGCAGATGCAGTCGGGACCAACGGCTTAACGTGCCTTCCGAAGCACGGAGTAACTCGAGATAGAAGATTCGGTCACCCATCCAATGACCGACCACTGCGAAAGTTGCTTAACTTCTCAGCCAAACGCGCTAACCACCCGCGCCCTCGAGCTCCTCATAGCTTTGGTATCGCAAGCGTTAACAGGCTCTGGTGGCTGCTTATCATCAGGCGGGCCATAAGCCTGTTTGCCACTCTTTTAACATAAAAAAAAAGTCCGAAGAAGAGATGGTTAGAAGTACTATTGTTGTAGATTAAACCGCATAGAAATGACCGTACGCCGGTTTTGAATAAAACAAAAAAAAAACACGACAGAGACAAATAAATGACGAGTCAGTAAAATTTCAAATGAATGGAAGCTTAATAGACCAAGAGCTATTGAACCCTCCGAGTAACGGTCTGTCTGTAAGGCTAGAAATTCCTATGGTGAAGAGTCATAGCATGCTTAGTACGGTAAGCATCGTCTGGCACTCCTCAGCCCTGCACGTCATCAAGCCGTATATTTTTGAAAGTGTCAAAAAAAAAAACTTGTTGCTGTAAGCTTGAAATTTTTATACAATTTATTTTATTCTTTAAAAATGCCAGGCGTTTAAGATGAGCACAAATACCTGCCAGGCGAACCGGAAGGTGTGTAATATATACATAAAAATAAACTTTATTCTGAAACGATGAAATTTATATATGTGTTTGTTTAAGCGATTTAAAGTAAGTAGTTATAATACCAGCCGGTTCTGGCTAGCACAAGTCCTTGCCAGGCGAGGGGAAAGATGCTGCGGCAGTGCGAGTAAGAGTCGTAGTATGAAAACTTACATAACTTAAAACTGCTCATAATTTGAAATTAATTACCGTTCATTAATATATATTTAGTAGTGTGCATATTTCTGTGATGTAACCGATTCGAAAAAATGCAACTCGATACTTAGATGAATCCTAATAAAGAATATGTAAGTTCATAAAAAAATACCCGCCAATGATGCTGGTCATTGGATGAAGTCGATGTTTTGTTCTGGCAATATTTTTTCATTATACCAAGAAAGTTTTTGTAACACTTCACATGATAACCTGTATTATCATGAACTTCCTCTGGCAAAGAAATGTCATTAAATTTTAAATTATGTTGTTTTCTAATTTTTAATATTGATTTGCTTTTGTCTAAAGTACTTGTTGTAAATTTTACAGTTTTGTCATCAATATCTTGTTTGCAAATCACACAAACAACGTGTGCAGATTACATTTTACTCACTTGAGCAGTTTTAGGTTATGTAAGTTTTCATGCTACGAGTCTTACTCGCACTGCAGCAGCATCTTTCCCCTCGCCTGGCAAGGACTTGTGCTAGCCAGAACCGCCTGGTATTCTAACTACTTACTTTAAATCGCTTAAACAAACACATATATAAATTTCAACGTTTCAGAATAAAGTTTATTTTTATGTATACATATATTACACACCTTCCGATTTCGCCTGGCAGGTACTTGTGCTCATCTTAAACGCCTGGCATTTTTTTAGTAAACTTAAAAATGAATAAACTAAATTGTATAAAAATTTCAAGCTTACAGCAACAAGTTTTTTTTTAAATATTTTTTTGACACTCAAAAATATACGGCTTGATGACATGCAGGGCTGAGGAGTGCTAGACGATGCTTACCGTACTAAGCATGCTATGACTCATCACCATAGGAATTTCTAGCCTTATAGACAGACCGTTACTCGGAGGGTTTAGTAGCTCTCCTACTATAACTCTACAGAAGTTATAATTTACATGCTTTTATAGATACTGAAATTTTTATATTCAGTAGAACTATTTCATCAAATTTAATCTTCGTTTACATCTTTTTTTCTTGGGAAGGTTAAATTTAAAGAAGCGTCCTAAAATGCGCGATTTTAGTACATTTTTTTTTTAAATCAAAAGCTTCTTTAGTTATAGTCACATTTTTAAGCATTTAACTGCTAGATGTTTAAATCTACAGACAACTAGGACCGCTATAGCATAATGGCCAGTACATCCACCCGGATAGCGTAGGCTATGGGTTCAAGTCCCGTCTGCTGCCTGTTCCAACTCTTACTTTGTTTTTTTTCTTTTCTAGGGAGAAGAGCTCGTGCTCTAATACTGGGAGCATGGTTTATCAGTTTTCTTTTCTGTGTGCCTATGTTAATTCTATTTGACGAAGCTGACGTTGGTGAGTACCCGAATGATTTTGTTGTTTTGAATAGTATTTCCAGAGTATATCCAAATTACCCTTTTCGAATGAATAACGAACGACCTCCGTGGCCGCATGTACTATCGCGGAATTTTGCGCTCTGTCACTTGGCGAACAAAATGCTTTGAACGGTTTTCTACAGTAGTTTTGACTACGCCCCGCCTTCGCGTCGGACGCGCCAATCCAGGCCGCCGCATAAAAGTAAGACAGAGAGCATTTCATTGATTGAATAATGAATTGAATTGCATTTGTTTTAGTTGCAATTTGTCATCCGCATCATGATCGCGACAGCGCTATACGAAAAAGTAAGACAGCGATAATTACATGTCTATGAATGAATTTTTACTACGCCGCTACCGCAAGCGATTATAGCATTATGGGTGACAGAGCGGGTCTTTCCGCGAGTGTACCACCGTATGGCCGTATGTACGCTGGGTGTCATGGTGTCGTCTACTTGAGAGGGTTCGAATTCTGGTGGGGACCGATGTTTGTGTGATTAATACGAGCATTTGTACTCCAGTCATGGATGTTTAATATGTATTTCTATATAAATATACAATATTGTTACCTTAATATTTGCCATAGTCATAATCGTAATTAAGTTTAAAGTCCCGAAATGCGTATTTAAAGAAAAAGATAAAATAAAATTTTCGAAATTAGAAGTTAAAAAAAACATATTCCCATTTTGTAAAGTACTGATTTTCAGCCTTACTTAATAAGCTTTACAAAGCAATGCTTAGGGTACACTATCAGATTATTACACCAAAAGACTTAAAAAAGTTTTAATTAATCCTTTTCATGTTAAATCTGTTTCTTTTCCTAGTTCTTAAGGACAAATAGCATTTAGTAATTATGATTATGTTTATATTTATAGTAGGTACTCTAAGGTTCCCGAAAGGAGTTCGGTGCAACGTAATTCTCGTACTTTTACCCAATGAAAGATGGCTTATTTCGTTTTATATTGTATCTCAAAGAATTACATTACTATCAATATGTTTTTACGCCTACGCCCGTTTTCATTCTGCCATCCATTATCGAATCTAGACAAAATGCAAACATTTTTTTATATATATAACCAGGTGGGCAAATGACTCTACTCCACCTGATGTTAAGCGGTGATAAAGTCCTAACGCGAAGATAGCTGGTACAGCAGTTATAAACTGCCACACCAACCAAACAAATTCTATAATTTTAAATATACCTTACATTTTTAAATATGAATGCCAGCCGTAGGCATTAGACAAGCAAAGAGGCTGTAACGCCGCGGACATTATAGTAGAGTCTGTGCGGAAAGAGAATGGGCGTGGAGAAAAACGGAACTAACATTAAGATTTTTATTTGGCAATCAAACCCAGTAATCTGTAAAACGTCAAAGTTTTGTATTGATACGGATTTGTTGTGATTTCTTGAGGTTTTTTTTGTATTTAATCACGTCTAAAAGGGATACAACCTTACAAATACGGTAGAAAAGCACTACAGCGCCCTCCAATCTAAATCCCATTCTCTTTCCGCACAGACTCTACCTACATAGTATGTATGTTTTACAGATTATATTTTTCAGGTATGCTCCAATGCTGGTCGAACCTCAGCAAAATCCAATGGAGGATATGGATGACGAGCGTATTTCTATCGCTGTTCGTCATACCAGCGCTTATAATAGCGGCATGCTATGGTGTCATAGTGGTCACCATAAGACATAAGAGCCAGAGGGTGCTCGGCAAGAAAGCCACTGTCGCGAGACAATGTGAGTTGAATATGGTTATTTTCAACACACTTGCTCAAAAAATGCATTTGTATACATTGTTCCAAAGTTCAAAATTATGAGCCATCCCACGGAGCGTGCCGTAAAACATTTTACCGCACGCTACATTTTTTTATTTCGGTCGAATCTCACTAATCTAAACGACGCTGCGGGTTAGAGTGAGAAAGGAGGAGTATCTACATCAGAAATTTAAACTAAATGAGCACAGGGGAGTGTATCATAAAAAAATACGTGTGGCACTCGGGGACTGCCGCGGTAAAGCTATTTCATAGCATTATTTATCAATTTACGCAATTATAATTATTTATTTATTTTATTTATGCAGAATTTTTTATTCGTTGATATTAATAGATGGCGAGGTAGGCCTTTTGATATTTATTGGGCAAGCACAGCAAAAAACAGCATTGCCCGGCGCCAAAAAACTTCCACAAGCTCCACAGTTTACCATTTTTAGTCCAAAAAAATAAATTATAATTATAAAGTCTAAATTAAATGGAGATAAATAAAAAGCAACTGTTCTTATTTTGCTAGGGTCTAAATCAAATATAAAAAAAAAAGAAAAAATAATAATAATAAAAAATGAAAAATACGAGTGCGGGATTTGAACCGACGACCGCGGTGATGCGTCGAACGTTGGTCCCGTGGCACAAAATTTAACACACTGCGCCGTTTCGATCGATAACGGAAAGGCGAAAATTGTGTTCATATGCACTGATGTCAGGTTGTTTTCGTAACGGAATTTTTTGATTCGGTCGCCTTGCTAAAGCCCGCGATAAAATCTATGCAATAGCTTAATAACTGGTATGATATAAATGCAGTAAGTGGGTTTCTACAAACGAGTAGGCGAATGTAAGCATTGTAAGCCTGAGACGAAGTCGAGGGTTTACCATAGTCACGAGTTCGTGAATACCAATTCCGCTCGAATGAAAGTAAACTTTTTATAATAAGAAAATGGCTTGCATTTCCAAATGGCGACATGTGCAGGCGGTGAACTTTAGATTTACATGTCGTCTTTTCTTCTTTTTAGTATTAAAGTGAGACAAAGGTATAGATTCAAAAAGCTTCCAAGGAGGTTTGTCCGAAATTAAAAAAAAGCATGTATGGGAGCGTGCAGTAAAATGCTTTACCGCACGCTTCGTTATATGGCCCATAATTTTGAACATTTGAACAATGTATACAACCTCCGTAAATGCATTTTTTTTTGCAATAGTGTTTAAAGGTCTTTTTCATCATCCGGCTGGTGCGCTGCATGGATGCAATTGGGAGAATAAGGTTATTTAATGGGTGCTAACGACTGAAGATGCAACTGGCACCGATGGTTTAAGAGCCTTCTGAAGCACGGAGGAGATTCTAATAGTAAAGTTTTGGTCACCCATCCAATGACGAAATTGTTTGTTGATGATGAAAGTAATTTAACTTTCTCGATCGCAAATCGGATGCGCAACTAAGTGTTGATCTTTACTTGAGTACAGTTAGAAAGGGATGTCGCTATGTGCTATATATAGTGACATCCCTTTCTAACTTTGCTCAAGACTAGATCAATCACTGAGAATTTTTCTATAATACGGATCTTAGACACCTACCGATGTATTACTGTTCATTAACTCACGGTAGTACCTAAACTTATTCCTCGTAAGAAGATAAGCTTATGAGAACATATTTAACGTTGATATATGATGAACTGGCTAACTGATACCTCGACATTAGTTTTCATTCGTGGGGGCATAATATCAGGGCCGGCAGTTTCTTTTTATACCTCAATGGCTGGCAGTTATTTTCTTTGAAAAGGTACAGATGTATGATGATATGAAGTTGTAATTAGTACCTACGAGTACAGCTGAGACAGCGACATGTTGACCTGACACAGCATATTAGACATTGGTTAGTTTTCTGTTACTTTTCTGTTTTCTTCTTTTAATGTTTTCTATCTTTTTGTTTTCTTGATGTATTGCTGTCAAGGAAAAATAAATATTTTCTTTTTGATTTTTCAAATTAAGTAAAATTGTTGACCCATGTCATGTTACATAATTGAACTCGCCGTTTTATATTTAATTATGTTTCACATTGTTTTATAATTCATGTTAGGAAATATGCAATTTGTAATATAATCTAGATAAATCTAAATAAAAGCATGTCGGAAGTATAATCAAATGATAATTCAACAAAGTCAAATAATACTTGTTTATTATATTTTCAAGTCTTTAACTGCTAGCTTTATAAATCTCTTGAAATAATTTACTCGTTTTTTTCTAGGAATCCATAATACTTGTGTTAAATATGTAAATTATTAAATTAAAACAGCCTTATAGATAAAAGCAAACAGAAACAGTTACCAGTACTTTCTTAAGTACTCGTTCATGATTTCAATCCTCCTTCTTGAGTCGCATTCCTCATTACTGAGGGTCGTGACCTCGCTTTTGTATCACTTTCTTCCGTATGATGATCTTCCATCTGTTCCTGTCTTTAGCGGTGTGGAGGGCATTGTGGACTGTCGAGTCTAGTGCGGTGCGAATCTGTTCAGACCAACGTATTGGGCTGCGTCCACGCGGTCTTTTTCCCTCTACTCTGCCTGTCACAATCAGCTTCTCGAGGTTGTCATTGTCCTTCCTTGCAATGTGGCCGAAGTACTCAAGGACTCTGCGCAAACACTCGGATGATAGGCGTGAGGAGATTTTGAGCTCACGCAATATGGAGACGTTAGTCCGGAATGCTGTCCAAGGGATACGGAGCATCTTTCTCCAGCACCACATCTCAAAGGCGTCGATGCATTTGCGACCTGCAGCTTTCAGGGTCCAGGTCTCAGCGCCATACAAAAAAATCGAGAAGACTAGAGTCCGTACCAGTCTGGTTTTGGTCTTTACGGATATGTTGCAATCTCTCCAGATTTTGCCAAGCTGAGACATGATTTCTATACTTTATCGTTATTCTTTTATGTACCCTCTCGTAACTAAATAAAGTGTTTACAAGTAACAAAAGAAAATCCGCTTCGGTTTCATCGGGCGACGAACACGTAGATCGGGAGAAAGAAAAAAATTAACATTCCCCCCGCCTTACACTTCATTTGCGAAATGGACAAGTGAGTAAATTGATGGCTAGAAAAACTGAACGAACGAATCGCACCAAATTAACGCCAACGTGACTTAACTAAGAAAGGCTCTCGAAAAATGCGAAAAGGACCAACAACTGACAGATTTAGTTAAGTGTCTGTTGAACAAGTGATTTTTCATTCGAGCAAACACATTAGAATTCCAGAATACTCCTTTGCCCGTGTTTGAATTTTTCAAGATTTAACACTAAAATACAGTCAAACTTCTTTCATTAGTTCGAAGTATTACTATCAAACGTCTTACTGAAATTTTTAAGGTACCAAGCGTTGTTGTTTTGATGAAAGACATTAATCTTGAGTTTTAATATAGCTAGCTTTGATAATTAAAGCGCTCTTTGGTGAATTCTATTATAAAATAAAGATAAAGGAATGGCTATATTAAATAATATATTAAATTCTAAAAGGAAATATATAAATTAGGTAGTCATGATTACAGAGTAAGTGAGATCCATCCATCCATCCACCAGCCTTTCTCCGTCCACTGCTGGACATAGGGCTCCCCCATAGAACGCCACAATGCGCGGTCCTGCGCTATCCGCATCCAGCGGCTCCCAACACATTCGACGATGTCGTGTCCACTCGAGGACCTTTCTTACCCAACGGTTGTCAGATCCTCGAGCGATGTGGCCTGCCCATTGCCACTTCAGCGTGCTAACCCTTCGGGCTATGTCGTACACACCGGTCCTTCTACGGATCTCCGTAAAGTGAGATAGCTTTAAAATATAATAAACACGACCTTCAGTGTTAAAAACTCACTTGCACCAAGCCCATCACACTAATATTATAAAGGCGAAAGTTTGTGAGTGTGTATGTTTGTTACTTCTTCAAGTCTAAACGGCTGGAGCGATTTTTATAAAATTTGGTATGGAGTCAGCTGACATCCTGGATTAACACATAGGCTACGTTTTACTGCGGGAAAATATCCCCTATAAACTGTGGGTAACACCGTGGGGCACAGCTAGTTATACCATTAAGTTAAAGCGATATCCTGTTTATAATATCACTATTAGGGTTCTTGTATAGATAAATTCGCCAAAAAGTTAATTTGTCATATTGTTGTTTACTTCATACATTGATTGAATGGGAGCTTATCCGCCACTGTGGCGAATATACACATACCACTTTTTTCCATACAAATTTATTTTACGATGAATGTAGTGGAATTGTTTCACTACTACCATTCTCATTTGTTAAAAATCAAATAAAGATAGAATGAAGTTTAGGTACCCGTTGACCTTCTCTACATGTTGTTTTCGTTTTCAGTTCAGAACTTTAGTACAAGTTAGCCTTAATTAGCTTTCTTAAGCATTTAACTGCTAGATGTTTTAAATCTACAGAAAATATTCACTAGAAAAAAATCCACGCAGTCCAGGCAGTAGAAGGAATTCTAACCAGCGTCCTCCGTTATCCGGGTGGAGGCTCATGCAGCGGAGTAGACCATGCGGTCCAGACAGCAGACGGGACTCGAACCCGCAAGTTTCGAGTCCCGTTCCTTTTTCTTTGTTTTTTTTTTTGTTAAATTGTCTCATCATCATCATCATCAGCCTTTTAATGTCCCCACTGCTGGGGATCAGGCCTTCCCTATGGACGGAATAGGGAGATTCGGCCATGACCCACCACGCGGGCCCAGTGCGAATTGGTAGGTGCTAACGACTGCAGACACAGCCGGGACCAACGGCTTATCGTGCCTCTCGAAGCACGGAGGAGCTTGCTTGCGAAAGTTTCTTAACTTCAACGATCGCAGACGAATGCGCTGACCACTTGCGCCATCGGGCTCCTCAAATTGTCTAGCTCAGATTAATCGAAACAGAAGCTTAATAATAAAATTACTACTTTCCTCTTAAATCGTATTTTGCGAAGCGCGAACATAATAAGTACTTAAAGTTCGCAATTTTTCACTCACGCTAACCACCCGGCCAGCGCGCTTCAAATTCAATAAAAGTTTTTTAATTAAATGTCGAGTTGCATTAATAGAGTAGTCGCGAGAATCTAGCTGACAAATGCCGGAGTGGAGTGAAATTATTCCCGCAGCCGAGTCGGATGGGTTGTAATGATTTATCTCGTTCCAGACAGTGACGATCTGGACACCCGCCGAGCGAGCAGCCGCGGCATCATACCGAAAGCAAAAATTAAGACGGTCAAGATGACTTTCGTTATTGTCTTCGGTGAGTACCTATCTACTTTGTAAGCTTTCTTACAATTTGGTCTGTTCATAAGTATTAAAAATTCTAAGCAACACGCATCATTTACACAAACTGCATGTTTATCAGTTGATGTATTATTTCAAACCTATTTTTGCTTTCATCATTAGCCTAATAACGTCCTCACAGCTAGGGCACTTCCCTATAGATGGAATAGGGAGAGTAAGCCTGACCCACCACGCCACGACATTTTTACTAATAAAATTGGTTATATTAAAAGAATTCAAGAATTAAAAAAAACGACGGGTTGCACTCCGGGAGTGCCGGCAGAAGTGAAAACTTGAATATTAACGTTGTGCATTTTTGATATTTTGGAATGGTTAGGGAATAATTTTGCACGAATATCTTTAATTATCAGTATAAAAGTACTATCATTTATGTGGTAGAATACAATATTTATTTATTGCGCTATCGTACATAAACATGACAATTTATATTACATTAAAAAGTTTGTCTCTCAGAATTTCTCATTTAAGTCCGACATCTATTTAAATAAAAATGCATTTTCTTAGCAATAAAGCTGCCACCTAGACGTCCCAAATACAGACTTATTATTATAATACGATAAAATAAAATATTATTAGGTTTCGTCCAATATATTGAAAATCAACAACCTTTCCAATTTTAATGTTTTCGTCTTACGATCAGGACACGTGGCCTGTGATGCGATCAGCCCACGTGTCATGACGCGAGTTTAACATTTTTTACCCCTACAAAATAAAGTGTACAACGCCGCTAAAGAAGTTTTCACTTCAATAATGATATATGTATGATATAATATGTTGCTTACTCTTTTGATCAGTATATTATAAGGATGAGTGGGTATTAAATAGTTAAGTTTCATTGAAGAGCGTAACGGTTATGACGCATTATGCCTGCTATTCTAATGCCTACCAAAGTTGGCTGAGTGGTTGACGGGACATCACGAACACCCAGATGCATCTCGAATTTTCCTAAGATGAAAAAGGATGGGTGACCCAAAAATTATTATCTCTCACGGGCTTGTATGATGGACTTTGGCCAGATCGCCCTACCTCGTATGTCTACATCTAACAAAGAAAAAGTCATTAGGCTGATTAGAGATGTAATCTTACTATCAGCATTAGGCTGTTATCACCTGCTCCAGTGTGCAAAGTTGAGGTTTTTGTTAATAAATAATTCACCTCATGCGAAAGCGCGGTGTTGTTTGTGGCAAGTACTGAGCGGTGCTTGAATACAAATAAATAAATAAATATTTCCAACACACACACATCAATTAGCCTAGCCCCAAAGTAAGCACTAAAAGGCTTGTGTTATGGGATACTAGGGTAACGGATAGAATACATATACTGTATATACACATATATAAGTATATTTTTTTTATATAGAAATACATATTAAACATCTATGACTGGAGTAGAAATGCTTGAATTCATCACACAAACATCTGCCCCCACTGGGATTCGAACCCGGGACCTCTCGAGTCGGCGACACCTTGAAACCCGGCATACCACCCGTACATACCACTTGGCCACGGAGGTCGTCAAATCAAGATAAGCACTGCATACAATGAAGAAGTCACAGGAGCGTAAACCAAATTACATCGCCGATGTTGTGCTAATCGCCTTACGCACCCCATAAAGACAAAAACACATCAATCAACACATTTATTTTCGTTATACGTCACACAAGATGAAACGTTATTGATAAATGTTTTGCCTATCATGCCGAAAAGTTTAAGTATAGCATACACAATCAAACTTTTTCCCTGATGATCTATCTGACTATCCTTTTGTGTTTGTTCTTGAACACAAAATAATTGAGAAGCTGGTGAACAAGGTATAATTACACATAATTATGGTTTTGATCATATAATACTTTATTTTTACAGCCCGGAGGTTTTGGGCCAGCTGAATTTGAATTCCAACTCATGTCAATCAAAACTGCCTAAAATAGTGTTAAAATTACTTAATTAAAAATCACGCCAAAAGCTCACTTTAGGTATGGCATTTAATTATTTACTGCTCCTGTAAAATTCATTTTGTTGTCATTATACCATTTTGTTCGCCAGCACTTCAATTCGTCTTTAGAATGACAGGTCACAGTAAATTATTAAGAGCTTACTTGAAATTTACTAAAGACTACAACTTACTACGTATTTGTAAAAAAAAAATTGTTATTGCCAAGATCGCTTGAATTCCGCGTAATGATATCATGATATTGTAAGACCCTCAAGAGTATGTAAACACCAAAGGTAACCAGCTCCAGGAAAATATGCCACGAGAAAGAACAAAAACTTAAGGGTTATACGTATGATGCGATTCAACTAAGAATAGGGCCGACTGTCAATTTAAACCAAATAGGTAGAGTTAGCAAAAAAATGTTTAAATCTAAAGAAAAGTTTACTAGAAAAAAAATGTTGCTTTTTAATAAAACTTATTTACTAAGATTAAGTGATACAAAACATCAGATTTTTTAATAAAATTAATTTATTCAGGTTGAGAATGAACACAACCGATTTTTAATAGTATTTCTTTATGAAGACTGTGTGAAAAAAAACATTAATCAGAATCTAGCTCTTCAATTTCGCTCATCTCTGCATTACCGCTGGAGAAGTTATTAATGATCATGCAGGTCACATACGAACATGCATCCTATATGTAAACGAAAGTTTTAAATCGAGTTTCTGAACGCAAAATAAAGTGACATTTGGTTGACGATTTAGGCTACCAATCATTCATAGCCAAAGCTCAATAAATGAAAAAAATATCAACTAATATTAATTATCAACATTTGTAATTGTTTTTTTTTTAATGTATGCTTTTTATTCTAGAATCAGCTGTGCTAAAAAGTTTTCCGAGATTTTTTGTAAACCGTACTTTTCCAGCGACATTTGACAGATGGAGGTCATTGGCTTTCCTATTCTTATTTGAATCGGATTATATTTTCATTCATTTCATAATCGCATTTCAACGACATCAGCCAATGCATAATATAATGAGTTTAGAAATATCTAGCAGCAACGTCTCTTTGTAAGATGAATTTCATACGAACAAGTACATAATTCTGGCCTCAGGGCAAACCTCGTGTGTATTACGGATAAAACATGATTGTCTGCCCTATGAGATGAAACGGATGGCTGACTAGCCTGATAGCTGCTTGTCGATCTTACGGTCAACCGGCGATAGCGTACTTTAGCTTTTTATAGTTATGTTACTGGTAACATTTCTTTTTTTTACCAAATCTCTTTAAATAGATTTTCTATTTTTGGAATTAGAATTTCCCCACTTTGGAATTTTTTAGCCCGCGCCGATTTATTGTTTTACTGATTCCTAGATATTATTTAAAATAAAATGAACATTTTTACTAAGTTTTTATGACCCTCTAAAGATGATTTATTAAAATAATTGAAAGTCATTCGTAATTTTAAAAGTGTTAAAGTTTTTATTAAAGTTATTTCTATGAAAAAATTGGCTAGTTTGAAATTACTTAGCGAAACATTAAGAACAGATTGTATACACTATATATTATCTAAAAGGAGTTCGAGAACTTTCATGCCGGCCATAAATATATTTTACGATCACATCAATCATAATATAAACTGGCAGAATTGTTATTCTTTTAGCCTTTACATAAAATGGCCATCAATAAACTTAAGACTTGTGTGACCTTTTATATCAATTGTTCCATTATCTACCCATATTTATGCAGTTTCAATACTAGTATTATTAGTATTTTCATTTAATTTATATGTTCTATTTATTGTTCTGAAAAAAAAATATTACTAGCTTTTGTTCGTAAGTAAGCTTTTATTTCTGCACTGGAAAGATAGCATTTTATCCTGGTCCAGCATGTGCATTTTTCAAATAGTCTGTTATGACAGATTTTTTCGTGTATAACTAAGAAGCAGCCTCTTGTTTTATTATCGGGTTATCAGTTAAAATTCAGTTACATAGTTTCAAGGTTACTATTGACCCACCCTAGCTTTGCTTTGATGTTATACTACAGGTTTTGTTCTTGGGCTTAAAATAATCTCAAGGCATAAAGGGTTTCGATCTAATCAAATTTGGTGTTGTGGCGTGGCGAAAAATCATAACGTTAGGAACGAAATTTAGTACTGCACTTTTCTTTTATTATACTCAGCTCTTATAAAAAAAATCAGAATTATACCTGTTTAAGATTTTAACGTAGTCCTTCGTGCTGCATAAAACACAGATGTGATTAATAATACAAGTAACTCGCCTGAGACAGGAAAAACCCTAAAAAAACACCTTAAAATAAGTGTTGATAAGTATCACTATCCATTTATCCATCGTGTCCATTCCAAGACCAGATATTTAGTAACTAGCGGAAAAAAAATACCCGACGGCGACTCAACAAATTTCATAATAAACTGAATTGGTTGAACACGAATCGATTACTTTTCCAATCTTTCACAAATCGTTCCTTTAGCTTCTTTATTACTCAATACCATTTTTATCGAGATTTTGCATATTGAATACTATTTTAAGACAGAAAATTTCTAATATCGATACAGATGTGGTATGCTTTAGAGTTTTAATAGAACAGTTGACAATCGAGACATATAGTAAATATTGTTTTATGATATGATATTTGTTAGCTAAATCGTTTTCGTGGAATTCTATTGCCCGCGGCAATTTCGAGAAACCTCTCCGCATTCATGCTTGGTTGAATCATAAAATTAAGTCTAATTTCTAATTTCAACAAGCGGTAGGTATATTTCAGTCTCACTAATATTCTCTGTTTCGTCAATTTTAACTATAAAACGGTAATCCGTCAGTTCATTCACTAACACATTAAAATATTTTCATCTTAAAGCTTTTTGTTAATAAAGACGATTTTTCGTCGTTTTTTCAAACAAGTAACCAGAAAGGTCCAAAATAAGACACCGTTAAAAAGTGTGCTCCCGAATAATTTTATCTGACTCCAGAAATCAGTCCATAAACTAGCACCTTCGTTGTAAAAAGAAGGGGCGAGGTGACAGCATCGCCACAGACAAACAAACATTTAGTCACAAAACATAATGCAGTATGTAAAGGGTGGTCATACACAACATCATAACACTTCACTTACAGATCTTTTCATTGCAGTATTCGTCCTATGCTGGTCGCCTTACATGATCTTTGACCTACTGCAAGTGTATGGGTACGTTCCTGATACGCAAGTCAACATCGCCATCGCGTCGCTTATCCAGAGCCTCGCGCCACTCAACTCCGCAGCGAACCCTGTGATCTACTTCATATTCTCTAGCCGGATATTTTTAAGTCTCAGGTGGGTAAATTCGTCATATGTCGACAGTCCAGGGGGTCATAAATGACGACGGATGTAATATCTAAATATTTTCATTTCAAAATTCTTCAATTCCACAATAATGACTCCTCTCCTCTCCCGATGATTGACGACCTCCGTGATAGAGTGGTTTGTACGCCGGGTTTCATGGTGTCGCCGACTCGAGAGGTCCCGGGTTCGAATCCCAGTGGGGGCAGATGTATGTGTGATGAATACGAGCATTTGTATTCCAGCCATGAATGTTTAATATGTATTTCTATATAAATGTACTTATATATGTACTGTATATGTATTCTTTCCGTTACCCTAGCATCTCATAACACAAGCCTTACAGTGCTTACTTTGAGGCTAGGCTAATTGGTGTGTGTTGTTTAAAAAAAAATAAAAATAAAATGACGTCTCATCTATGTGGCCATTTTACGCATTTCGTTTCATCTAAAGTTGATTATGATGTTTTAATCTAGAGAAAATGCTTAAAAACTAAAAAAAGACAATTAACTTCATATTCTGTTTTTTTATGATAACGAGTCATTTTAAGATTTGATAAATGAAACGTATTAAGAACCATTTAAAATTCTGATCCCATATCCCAATAGGAAAACGATCTAATTTCACGCTTTCTGCTTCATTTTCGAATGCGCTGTCTTGAATCCCCGTCAATAAAGTATTAAATGGCCATTATTTAGGAAAGATTCCTAAAGAGCATCGTCATGTGGAAAAGACGTCCATTAATGTGACGACATTACGCGACAGCGCTTTTTGAACCATAAAAAGAGAACATGCGCTTTTACGCTACCCTGTTGCTTCAATGCGCCAATTCCAGCATCGGATGTACTTAAAAAGCTACTTAAGTGTCGTAAGTTTAAAATCATAGCCGCTTATGATGTCACGTAAATTGTTCTCTAATACTATGCACAGAAACTTACGAGGATAAAAAAATATTCTAAATTATTTCCGAGGCTTCGCTTTCTTGAACTCTGTACTTTTGTTAATATTTTTGAACTAGGTATCCAGTTATTTATATTTTAACTACAATAAAGCAAGCGTTTTGCTTACTAAATATTTTTATTCTATCCCCTATGGACCAATTTAAGTATCTCCTGTTTCCCCTCTCTCTCTGTTTTTGTTTATTTTTTAAGTTTTATGTTGGCTATCTCAGATTTCATCAAGTTTTTTGAGTGTTTTATATGGATGATCTTTTAAATTAGCTACTCAGATATGTTGGTCTGTACGATATTTTTCCTTCCATTTCAATCTCATCGTTTGTACGATTTTTTTTTCGATATCACAGAGAGAATAAAACGTTTGATAGAAAACAACATAGTGACGCAGGTTTACAAGAATCATAATTGAAATTTGCAACCAGACATTTAAATGTGATTGGAAACTCGGTTGTAAATTTTGCTTTGGCTGTTTTCGATTTTGGGGTTTATCTTTTTCTAGCGTTTGTAAATAACGAAGACACTTTGAAATTCAATCAGATTGAATTGGCTCTTATTCAAATTTTGACCATCTTGAACTTTTCTCATTCTTTAAATTGTGTTATCGAATAACCATTTGTAATAAATTAAACTTTAAATAAAGTTTGCTTTATTATAGGTATATGTAGAAAGTGTCTACGGGTCAAATACACAATGTTAATATTTTCCAGGACTTGCATGTAAATATTCTATATTTATACAAAATGTGTTAAGTACATCGTTGATAAATTTATATAAATTTAAGCAAAAAGTCATTATGGATGACGGAATTTTTATGATAGAGATGGATTATTTTTATTACAAAACAAAGACGTCATCCTTAGAACACTTTTGGTTTGATTATATGAGGACTCTCTAATTTTTTAAGAGGCTTCACAAAAAATTATGTTCTCAGTTTAACCTGTTTGTATATATGTTTGTTCTTATGACAAATGGAAGGCAAACAAGCTCACTATATAGGTATTTGAATGGAAAATATTTTTTGGACAGGAACATCCCACCTTACAAATGGTTCTGGTGTTGGATGAAGTCGAACGAGAGTCCCGCCGGCAACGAGTCGCGTGCGCATACAGAGCTGCTGACGTCATCACACAGGAGGACCAGGCGGGATCTCACTGTCAAGGTGATTGAAGTATACTACACTTGACTGTTCGCCGTAAGTCCACAGATACTCATGGTCAACACAAGTGGTTATGGTGCTGAATAAAGTCGAACGACAGTCCCGCCGGCAACGAGTCACGTGCGTACACAGAGCTGCTGACGTCATCACACAAGAGGACCAGGTGGGACCTCACTGTCAAGGTAATTGAAGTATACTACACTTGTCTGTTCGCCGTAAGGCTTTAGATACTCATGGTCAACACAAATGGTTCTGGTGCTGAATAAAGTCGAACGACAGTCCCGCCGGCAACGAGTCACGTGCACACAGAGCTGCTGACGTCATCACACAGGAGGACCAGGCGGGATCTCACTGTCAAGGTGATTGAAGTATACTACACTTGACTGTTCGCCGTAAGTCCACAGATACTCATGGTCAACACAAGTGGTTATGGTGCTGAATAAAGTCGAACGACAGTCCCGCCGGCAACGAGTCACGTGCGTACACAGAGCTGCTGACGTCATCACACAAGAGGACCAGGTGGGACCTCACTGTCAAGGTAATTGAAGTATACTACACTTGTCTGTTCGCCGTAAGGCTTTAGATACTCATGGTCAACACAAATGGTTCTGGTGCTGAATAAAGTCGAACGACAGTCCCGCCGGCAACGAGTCACGTGCACACAGAGCTGCTGACGTCATCACACAGGAGGACCAGGCGGGACCCCATTGTCAAGGTAATTCAAGTATTCTTTACTTGACTGTTCGCCGTAAGTCTTAAGATACTCATAGTCAACACAAATGGTTCTGGTATTGGATGAAGTCGAGCGAGAGTCACGCCGGCAACGAGTCGCGTGCGCACACAGAGCTGCTGACGTCATCACACAGGAGGACCAGGCGGGACCTCACTGTCAAGATAATTCAAGTATACTACTCTTGACTGTTCGCCGTAAGGCTTTAAATACTCGTGGTCAACACAAATGGTTCTGGTGCTGAATAAAGTCGAACGACAGTCCCGAGGGCAACGATTCACGTGCACACAGAGCTGCTGACGTCATCACACAGGATGACTAGGCAGGACCTCACTGTCAAGTTAATTTAAGTGTACTGCAGTATTCGCCGTAGGCTATAGATGAAATCTATTAGATGCCTTAAATTTTATTGTTCCTGGCTTTCTTTGTTAGTTAGAGATTTGACTTTTGCTACAAATTTCATTTAAAATGTATTTAAAACAATTTTATTTAAAATTATTTAAAACCACTCTTGTTATAGGAAAGCAGTCTCAAAATTTATTCATTCAAGATAAATTAATAAATTCAGAATAAGTGCAACTTAATTGTCGGCTACAATATCCACGCTTGCAAACAGTGTTTATTCCATTTTGTTTCTTCACACAACCTACCCAATGCAATACCAAAAGCTTATGAAAGAATGAATAAAATATGCTACAAATGGACCTATCGAAATCTTCTGGTAAAACTTGGGCTAACTCTAACGATAGTTCCAGGTTTTATTAAAAATGTAAAGAGTTTTTTTTTTCTGCTATTCCCAAGGTCAAAGAGCAGGACAGCATGGTGTTCCCGAAGCAACGAGTACACCAATGCAACAGCACGAACTCCAGAAAAGTCCGCCTCCAGCTTCCCGAAGACCATCAGATGAATAACAACTGTCATCCTCAAAGGAGACGGGACGACACGTTCTTGTAGTGCATGATTCATTACTGTACCCTTAGCACGAACCTATATCGAATTCGAATAGTTTGCGAGTGCGAAATGTCAATGTCAAATTTTGTATGGAAACATGCACAGCAGCGCCACAAAGTACGTAACGAGAACTAAAAATCAGTACACATTTGACAATGACATTTCGGACTCGCAAACGTTACGAATGCGATATTGGTTCGCGCTAAGGGTACTGATTATGAAACATAACGAGATTTCTATTACGAATTTGACAACGATTTTACGAAATTATATTACTTTCAAAAACATTTAAAATTCAATATCGTTTATTTAGTCTAGGCTGTTACAAGCACTTGTGAATATCGAAAAGCTACGCCATCGGTTCGCAAATGAAGGCCCGCCGTAGCGGGAGTCCTTGTACTGAGAAGAACCGGCAAGAAACTCAGCAAGGGCTGTTTTTTTTTCCTTGCTTTGAGAACGAAGTTCGGCTGTACCTAAGTACTCAACATTGGTTTGAGTTTTAAGTAATTAATTGTAAAATAAAATGGTTCAATTACATTTTTGTTTAGCCAGTAAGTTGCAAAAAGGTATGTATCAAACGCACGATAACGTCTAAGAAGAAAACAAACATTTCACTACAGTAATACAGATATTGAAAGAAGTAGTACATTACTGCAGTGACGAGCAAAAAAGGCATTAATGAAAAACGTGTAAATGTTGGCTGAAGCGAACCGAGGATACATACGTAAGTCCATCAATGCCTAGTTGTGGCCGTGGCTTGTATACTGCCGTCCTCAAACTAAAGTGCGGCTATCTGACATGTGGTCGATTTTTCAGTCTTAAATTGCATCTTATACAATGTTTAATTCTCTATCGATCTATCTTTAACGAGTGTTCGTATCTTTTATAGTTTGAGTCTTAAAAATCTGTCATTTGATGAATGGTTACAAAATAGCAATAATTTAAAGTTTACGAGCCGTTTTTTGACCATATCTAAAAAAAGTTGATTTTATCATTAAGCCGCGTTTTAGCTTGAGGACGGCATTATAGTACTTTTCTCAAATAATAGGTGGAAATAAAAACTAAATAGTCCCTATTTAGGCAGAACTTGTTATCTCAAAATTATAAAAATTAGATAACTGCCTACTTTTTAACATCAATAACGAACATGAGTTTGGAATAATTTGCATTTTTTTACCTGATTTTAATAATAAGTAAAATAAAACTAAGCATTTTTATTTTTATTTTTTATGTTTTTAAGCATTTAACTGCTAGATGTTGAAATCTAAAGAGAATTTTACTAGAAAAGATTCCACGTGGACCAGGCAGCAGACGGGACGTAGTATTTTACTAAGCAGTTTTTTTTATGTTACTTCATCGCCTTTCGAAGTTCGTGATCTGTGAGACTTGTAACATTGTAGTGTCTCTTGACTTAATAAAGAAATTTGGTTTATTTGCAACCATAAATTCGACAAAGATCCCGTCAAAACACTGTTTAATGTATTGTTTACATTCCAACAATGTGACACAAACCATTACATTTCAGAGGGGCGACGGATCATGTTCCTTTAACAAATATTATTGTTATTTAAATTAAGTTGTTTTATAACTATTTTAAAAACAATTTGCATTTATTTTGTTATATTCATAGTGTCATACTGATGCATATAAATTTCAATATAAGTATAGTAAGTAATGTGATTATATAGATAAAGTTGAGAAATTTTAAATTCCTTTTAGTAAACATTGTTTAGGTACATCAGTATAATATCAGAACCCAATCAACATCAAGCAAGTTTCAAATTTACTTATGAAAACATATTTTTTTCATAAACAATTTTATAAATAAACAAACAAGAACAAAAACACACTCATTATCTTTATATTGATCCAATGTTCATCTGAGAAATTTTTATATTTTTTTATATTGCATTAATGATTATTGTTTAAAAAAATATATAACGTCTAATCTAATATAAAAATGGGATCAAATTGTTTTCGAAAAAGAAAGTTATACGAATAAATGTATTTATCTGTAAATAAGTGAATGTAACACAAAATATTACAAATTAAATTTAATATGGTAATCAAAACCTTATTATTTTCTTGGTAATGTATTATTGATCTGTTATGTTATTTGATCTCTTCTGTATGGTGGGCCCCGGGCATCAATTGTACCCTGGCTGTCAAAATAGCACTCTGGTCTAAATTATAATGATTTTCTTGGGTGATTACGAAGTCGACGAAAACCCACAGCTTTGTTTGGGTAACAAATAGGGGACATTAATATCGAAGTTATATAAAGGCTGTACTCACACCGAGTTAGCGGCTGCGAGTTACAATCTCAATCAGCTGTTTTATATAGTTAGCGAATATTTTATAAATAAGGGATAATTTTAAACTGTTGCTAAACATCGGCAACCGTTGGAGACGCTCAAACAATTGAGGCGAACTTTTAATTTAATCCACAATCTTTTTTTAAGTAACTACAATTACTACAATTGCTTAAAAATATGTCTGAACTTTGACAAACGTCCCAAATCTTTCTTTTTCTGAATTTGATGTCAAATTAAATGTCTTTCGCTAACTCCAGTGTGGAAGCCGCCCTATCTGTCAATGGCAAATGCTTGCCTCAAAGTGGTAATTTGTTTCAGTGGAAAGTACTTTGTGACGGCTTAATTTATGTTAGAAGTGAAACTTCTTTACGCACGCTTGCCTATATGCGCGCGCACTGCTTTCTCTTGCATATATACCCCACTCAACTCCCGTTCGCCTCGCCCGAACACACTTTTCGTAACGTGTAACGCATTCGTCAGCTTACCCCCCAAGTCAAGTATGCGTAAAGAATTTTCACTTTTAAAAAGTGTGAGCAAAGGTATTCTGAAATAGGTACTGAACTTATGAAACTGATCCTGTAACCATTAACCAATTACAGAGCATCCAGGAGGGGCGTACGCATATACAGATTTTTCTCTTTATTGGAAACGCTTCCCTTTATATGGTATACAAAAATATATATATATATATATATATTAAATCGCAGACTATCAAATAAAACAGTTGAATCAAAAACTTGATAAAAAAATGGGCCTATAAACAATGTATGTGTGCAAGATTTGGCGGTGCATTGTACCATTGTTTATGTACGTGTGTCGTAAATACAGTTTTCATTTTTACGCATGTACGTTAAACGGCATCAATTCTTGTGTAACATGCACTAAATGGAAGAATGATTCGAATAATATTATATCACTCAATATCTAAAAAAGAATAATGTTTTAAAACTAATACTAGTATATATAGATAAAAATCAATTGCTGTTCGTTAGTCTCGCTAAAACTCGAGAACGGCTGAACAGATTTATCTTATCTTGGCTTTGAAATGTTCGTGGAGGTCTAGGGAAAGCTTAAAAGGTGAGAAAAATAATTATATAGTGACTATAGTCTGCCTACACTACAGCTCTACAGCGAAGCGAAGCGAGGGTGGGCCACTAGTTTTATATAAAGATGAATACATACAACAGTAGGTGTAGAACTTCAAATTACATTATTTATTGGAATTCCATATCGAATAATTTGTCTGAAAACCAATCCATCTTTTCTTTCTGATGTTTAGATTGAGTTTCCTGAGATTCGATTTCCTCTTTAATATCGAATACTATGTGTAACATAATTTATATTGAGTACTAGTGTGTAACAGATTTGTGACCTATTTTAATACTTTTCATGTAAAAGCAAATTAATACAGGGATTAAATATATAAAAGAAAAATATTTTACGAAAACATCACACAAATCTTTAAAAAAAATATGAGACGATCAGCTTTTCTTACTTTTTAATATTAAAAGAAAAAAAATGATGATAAATTTAATAAGTATATATTACGTACTCACATTTTATTTTTATACAATGTATTTTTTCTGATATTTTTTGTAGCTGAAATCATATATTTTCGCAATTTTAAAGATACAGAGTAAACAAATACACTGTATTATTAGCAGCTAAAAAAATCTTTTTTTCATGGATCATTATTGATAATGTCATCATTGTTTTCAAATTAAATGATAATACTAATAAACCAAAGCATTTAAGTAATACTGAAGTTAATATAAGCTGTATAATTACTAAGTAATTTAAGTGAATGTGTTGTTGGTACCGGTGCCAAAATCGATGGGAGTTAAACTCGAGTCATTCGATGTTAAAATTAAAATATTTATTATAAAATAAATGTTATAGCTATTAACGGGATTGTTACCACGTACCTTGTTTTTTATGAGTCTTCAATCTGATACTGTGAGTATTGTGTGTCGGGAACAGGTGCGAGTGAATAGTGAGAATGTGACCAGTGGTAGTGGTATCGAGCGCAGTAAAAGACGACGTCAGCGGGTAGACCGATATGTCTGCCAATAACATCTACCCGCAAATGCTTCAGTTACTCCGTGATCATGGCGCTCGGAGACTCATAAAAAATAAGGTACATGGTTACAATGCCGTTAATAGCTAAAATGTTAGTGACCATGAAAGTTTAAAACAATATAAAGTTAAATGTGTCATGTAATGTAAATTACTATTTTAAGTATTGAAAATTTTAATAAATTAGTTTAATGTATTGTAAGCATTTTGTTTTATTTGAATGGCATGATCCAAAATTTAATTAGTCTGTGATTGTTCCTAATATAAATAACAGAGAATTATTGAGAGCAATGATATGATAAATTCTTAACTTAACATTTTTTGAACACATAACTATAGCGGTTTGCACATTGCAGTCCTAAAGTGTCTTCCAAAACTTTATAATAAGTTTTATTAGTAACATAATAAAATTAAAATTAGAACAGGCCACAGGCCAATTTTATTTGAGGTAAAAAAAATAGAAAATACAGATTAAATACAAACTTATGGTTTGAATCTTGTTTGACGTGAATTTTTATTGAATTAGTTCGGACATAGTTCGGACGGCCGACCATCTGTCAACATTCAAGAAGGAGGAATCGCGGACGAAAAGCTTTGTGTAACTTAACTGCGTAAGTATCTGAGCTTTAATGAATGATTCGTATTAACTATACCGGGTACAGATGTATCTAAACCATTTTGTAAAGCACTTCATAGTTTACCGTGTGGATTAAGGTCTCTGCCCACTTCACAGTATCATACCATGACCGTGCTATGAACGTGTCAGGCAAAAAAATATTCTTTGTATAAAAAAGTATAAGACAATGCCTACTAGCCCGTTCCGTCACCGACCAGCACCGTCGCATGACATGCACGGAGCGGCTACTATTGTCGGCGAGAATATTTTGCCGGTGCCGATACGCTCCGCGCATAGCACGAGACGTTGCAAAACCGCGCGCATAGGCAACAAAACGGTGACTTACGGGTTAGAACTGCGTAATATGATGACCGTTATATAGGCGTCTTAAACGCCTGAAGTACTGAAAGAACTTTTCTACATCATAGGACACGTTCATTGCACGGTCATGGTATGATACTGTGTAGTGGGTGTAAACCTTAACAGTTAATGTTTTAATAGACATACCTATTGTATTTAAAACTTAATAGCACTCCGCAAACGTCCATTCATTACCGATACACATGTAAGAATGAAACGGCTTCTTATCGATTTTGGTGAAGACGTCATACAAATTACGCAAAGGCAACATACGGGTTGCATACGGGCATCATACGGGGTGCATACGGGCAACATACGGGCATTATATGCCGTCGATCCATTTCAGTGGGCATAGCAAGCCGTTTCGTGTCAATTTCCGTGTTTGATACGGTCCTAGCACGTTCATGGTATGAAACGGTGTAGTCGGCAGAGACCTTTACGCCTTTTACTCTGACATCGCGACACGCGGCGAAACTTCTGTAATCTGTCCTACACTATGAATTTATATCGCTTACGTTTCATCTTGCTCTGTCTTTCATTTCCTATCTATGCTACCACCGCCACCGCGGTACCACGGTAATATTATCTATACAGTATTTTGACTCGGCCCTGTCCTTGAAATAACTGCCTACGGCCGAGCGGGGCGTATCCACGCGGTAGGGCTGCCCGCCTACAGTATTTCAATTTCATCTACATAATTGAGTTTCTTTCTAGTTTTGTGATTGTAAATATTTTATTTCATATGTAAAAAAAATGTTGAAATGAATTAGGAAGTGTTACATAAAATACATGTTATATTAAGTGTAATATTTAATAAATTTAAATATATAGATACAAGCAACCAAAAAAGGCACAATATCGACTATTGAACTTTGCCATATTAAATTATGTAGGTATCTACTTAATTCAATCAAATATTCACAATATTAACGTTTAAGTATAGATAATATTACCGTGGTGGTACCGTCATTTTAGTGACGCGCGTTTCAGAACTCGCGTCACTCACGTACGTACTTGGTTTGTCTTTTCTGACAGAATATCGCAGCGAAACAAGATGGTGGAGGCAGAAGCCGAGAAAATTATAGATGAATTGTGTATGCCCGGAAAGATTCTCTTTGTCATTTGAAATCTGAATGCAAAGGTCCTTTTTTCTTCTTGGTGCAGAGAGTTTTTGTAATAGTAACCTTTCTTTTTTTCTTCACTGGTATACTGCGTCGTCCTATTAATAAATGAGGAAAATGCTTATAATAATAATAATAATAATCATTTATTTTCGGATAACAAGGATCCATAGTGGGTTAGTAACAAATAGATTATACTTAAAAACTAATGTTAGTAAATAAACACAGGTGGTTTGATGTCACCCTACGATGCCCCCGCCTATACGACTGCATGCAGTCGTATCCAGCGAGCTAGCATCGGAGAGTCCCACCGTTCCACCAGCGCCCTCAGGATGGTGTTGGGGCTGCCGCGCACCCGCCCAAGTAGCGAGGCGCAGCGCTTACGCATGATGGCCGCGAAACCATCTGTATGGGCCTCGGCAAACATGCCGGAGGCACTGCAGTGACGCGGCAACCCCATCAACACCCTGAACGCGTTGTTGTATTGTATTCGAAGGCCGCTATATACCCCCTGCGTATACTTCACCCACAGACCGCATGTATAAAAAGATTGGCAGAATGCTTTAAAGAGTGCTATTTTAACCGGCTTGGTACATTTTACGAATCTGCGAGCTAACATATTACAGCGGACAGACAGAGACCTCCGTTCCCTCTCAATATCACAATTGTCATTTAAATCTTCTGTTATCCAGTGACCCAAGTACTTAAAGCGTTCAACTTTTTTCAACGGAAAGCCACAGAGTGTTATTTGCGGAATATTAGTGTAACGAATGCGATCGGGCTTAAATATCATGATGTCACTTTTACTTGCGTTGTACTTGAGCCCCTGTGCCGTTACATATGACTGGCAAACACGTATTAATCGCTTCAACGCGCCGGTTGATGGACTCAACAGTACCATATCATCTGCGTAGTTGATATTATTAATACATACGCCGTCTACGTGACAACCGATACCTGTACTGCCAAGTTCATCAAGCAGCTTGTTCATGTACAAATTGAACAACGTTGGCGAGCTTAATCCTCCCTGTCTCACACCGCACTCCAGTCTATACTCATCGGAGAGAACACAAGACCATCTTACATTATTTTTTTGGTTGCTATACCAGTGCTTAAAGAGAGATACAATTTCCTCTGGGGTGTCAGTTTCTGATTTCATTTTATTCCAAAGAATGTCATAGGATACAAGGTCAAAAGCTTTAGATAAGTCAAGGTAGCAAGCATACACTGGTGTTTTTCTTGCATTGTAGTAATGGACTGTCTGCTTGAGACACAAGATGGCACTGTCAGTGGAAAGGCCAGGTCTGAAGCCAAATTGCGAGTCATTAAGCGATATATGTTCCTCCAGGCGCCTAGCAAGCAGACCGTCCAGTACCTTCGCAATCACAGTAGCCAAGGAGATAGGTCTATAATTGGTTACATCTGCCAAATCTCCAGTTTTGTTCTTTGGTATAGGAACAACAATAGTTCGCATAAGATTTTCGGGCAGATAAGAATGCCCAATACAAAAATTAAAAAACAAGGATAACACTCTTGGCAGATGAACTCCTGCATGCTGCAGATGCTCGATACTGAGGTTGTCATGTCCCGGGGATTTGCCCCTCACCATGCCCTTAATCACTTTTGAAACCTCCTTGGCTGTAAAGATAACACTACGTTTGGGAAATTTGGACTTATCCGTCTCAGCATCGATCACCGGCTTCCCTAATGGGGATTCCACCCTAAAATATTTTTTAAATAAATTAGCTATGTCTTTCGGCTCATGGTATCCATTCATACTCACGGGAAGGCCCGACCTATGCTTCATTTTGTTGGTACTTTTCCAAAACTGACTGAATTTCTTGTTTTTGTGGTATTCAGCAATAATATCAATTTTTATTTGTTGCTGATTGTTTTGGCACCATTTAAGTTTTGCTTTAAAAATGCGCCTCGTTTCACACATATCATTATAAAAACAACCAGATGTTGGTTTGCCATGAAGTAACCACATACGAAAACAAAGTCGAGCCCTGTCGTGCGCGTTATGAACGTGTTTGTTCCAGCCGGGTAAGTATTTGCGTTTTTTACTTTTTTTAACTACGTTACTACAAACTGCGGATTCTGAAAGTATACATATTATATTATCATACATTTTATCTAATAAAATTTTGTGATAGTCATTACTACAAAAACCGTCACAACAGTTAATGAACTCTTTAGGAAAATCTACTTTTCTTAATCTATGATGACATTCACTGTGATAATTTTCTATTTGAACCATGCCACGTTCCCCCCATATTACCTGATTTACAAAATTATATTGTGTCGCTGACTTTGATCTTAAAATAACACTTAGATTACACTCTACAAAAACAGGGTAATGATCAGACCAGTAGGTGTCGTAAATTATTGACACAGAATGAACGGAGAGCCGGGCCGCACTAGTCACTAAGCAGTGATCAAGCCAGCGGCGGCATCCGTGCGCATCACTCACAAACGTATGACTATCCGATGGCAGTAATTCCATGTCCACACAAGACCATAACTGTTCAGCACAAAACGATAACAGTTCCTTATTAAAAGAGGCTCAGCTTTCCATTATATGTAATTGAGTTGCAAGCTGAAATTTTTGTCACGCAAAGTGTTAACTATTAAAAACACGTACACGAAATCTTTTTAGGCGGAAACGAATAGAACTCTAAAAAAAAATTATTGAAAATTAATATTTTTGTAGGTTATGAGTCAATTTTGACAGCAATTTTGATCAGTGCTGCCATTTTTTTATGCAAAAATAACACGTTTCTCGTTGTCTATGGTAAATATAAGTTTATTATGTTGGTACTATTGTCAAAATGTGACAATTTACCGCCATTAATGAGATCTGCCAGTCAGTGTTTGTGTTCGTCGCAGTTGAGAGCTTTTTCGTACTCCTGTTGATATTAACGTCGTCTGACTACCATGGCATCCTCAAAGCCTTCGACCTCGAGTTCTGCTGGCCCTTCGCCTGAAGAGTCGAGTGTAGTGCGAGTTTTGGACTCTAATGAGCCGCTTGTGTGGTGATACTTCACACTAGGTTAGGTTAGGTTAGTGTTGTGATGTT